CCCACCGCGTTCTTGGGCGTCTGGGTGTGGAGGCTATGGAACTTGGGGAGGAGGGCGGTTGGTTACACAGGGGCTGTAGTGGCAGTCTGTGCTCCAGCTGCCTTTGCTGCAGCTCAACCATACACTGGAGCATACTGGTTTGGTCCTCCAGCAGCCTCAGCATTGAATCTTGCCTCCTCTCATCACGCTGCCGCCACATTTGAGCTTCAGCCCTGTCTTCAGCCCGCCACTTACTCTCTTCAGCCCGCCACCTCTCCTCCCGGTCATTTTGTGCTTTCCTGCACTCTGAAATTATTTGCCTCCACGCATTCATCTGTGCTTTGTCAGTGCGGGAGGACAGCATGAGCTCGGAGAACATTTCATCTCGAGTGCGTTTTTTTTTCTTTCTAATCTTCACTAGCCTTTGGGAAGGAGAAGATCCTGTGATCATTGAAACACATGCAGCTGGTGGAGAAAAAAAAAGGGACAGCGGTATTTAAAAAGACACATTTTATAAAACAGTGGCTACACTCTTTCAGGGTAAACCTTGCTGTTAACATTACATACATAGCACATGTGCTTTCGTTACAAGGTCGCATTTTGCCTCCCCCCTCCCCGTGGCTAACAGCGGGGAACATTTCTGTTTAGCTACAGGCAAACAGCCCAGCAGGAGCGGGCTCCTCTGAGTGTCCCCTGAAGAAAAGCACTCTATTTCAACCAGGTGACCATGAATTATATCTCACTCTCCTGAGGATAACACAGAGAGATAAAGAACGGATGTTGTTTGAACGCCAGCAAACATACACTGCAATGCTTTGTTGTACAATGATTCCCGAGTACGTGTTACTGGCCTGGAGTGGTAAAATGTCCTACCATGAAGGACGCAATAAGGCTGCCCTCCCCAGAAACTTTTGCAAAGGCTTTGGGAATACATCCAGGAGAGCCGCGAATGCCAGGGCAAAGTAATCCTTTCACATGCTTGCTTTTAAACCATGTATAGTATTTTAAAAGGTACACACACCGGAGGTCCCTTCTCTGCCTGCCAGGTCCAGGAAGCAGCCTTGGGTGGGTTCATGGGGTACTGGCTCCAGGTCTAGGGTGAGAAACAGTTCCGGGCTGTCGGGAAAACTGGTTTCTCCGCTTGCTTGCTGTGAGCTATCTACAACCTCATCATCATCATCATCTTCTTCGTCCCCAAAACCTGCTTCCGTGTTGCCTCCATCTCCATTGGAGGAGTCAAACAACACGGCTGGGGTAATGCTGGTGAACCCCCTAAAATGGCATGCAGCTCATCATAGAAGCGGCATGTTTGGGGCTCTGACCTGGAGCGGCAGTTCGCCTCTCTGGTTTTCTGGTAGGCTTGCCTCAGCTCCTTAAGTTTCACGTGGCACTGCTTCGGGGCCCTGTTATGGCCTCTGTCCTTCATGCCCTGGGAGATTTTGACAAAGGTTTTGGCATTTCGAAAACTGGAACAGAGTTCTGATAGCACGGATTCCTCTCCCCAAACAGCGATCAGATCCCGTACCTCCCGTTCAGTCCATGCTGGAGCTCTTTTGCGATTCTGGGACTCCATCATGGTCACCTCTGCTGATGAGCTCTGCATGGTCACCTGCAGCTTGCCACGCTGGCCAAACAGGAAATGAGATTCAAAAGTTCGCGGTTCTTTTCCTGTCTACCTGGCCAGTGCATCTGAGTTGAGAGTGCTGTCCAGAGCGGTCACAATGGAGCACTCTGGGATAGCTCCCGGAGGCCAATACCGTCGAATTGTGTCCACAGTACCCCAAATTCGAGCCGGCAAGGCCGATTTAAGCACTAATCCACTTGTCAGGGGTGGAGTAAGGAAATCGATTTTAAGAGCCCTTTAAGTCGAAATAAAGGGCTTCATCGTGTGGACGGATGCAGGTTTACATCGATTTAACGCTGCTAAATTCGACCTAAAGTCCTAGTGTAGACCAGGGCTAAGCTCTCAGGATGGGATACTAGCTAGAGGATCTGCTCTCCAACAATGTGTATAGAGCTGGGTCCCCCCACATCAGTCTGGTGAGCTGTCAGCAGGGGCAGCCCAACCAGATCTGTGACAGGAATAATGAATGCAAATCCCCAGTGGTGAACCAATGCATGTAACAAGTCCTTTGAAGTTTCATGCCCCTTGGCAAATTCATGCAGGCTGGTTTGACCTGGTTCAAAAGCCTTAGAAGACAAGGGACTTGAAACTGTCTTCCCCCTCCCCAGGTCAGAAGCTGTTTTATACATTCTCCATTTGAAAACTGACAGGTCTGAGACTGTGACCAAGAGACCTGACCCTGCGAAGGACCGGAAGTATTTTAAATCTGCCAGGGTCACCATGTGGAAGATTGGTGACCACCTGGTAAGTTAGGCAGACACATAAACTGTCTATTACTTTAAGATATGTTTCTCTGGAATGTTTTTGTTCTGAATAAATAGTACTTTGCTTTATGAGAGATGGTCACTAGTTAAACCCTGGTTTCAGAGTAACAGCCGTGTTAGTCTGTATTCACAAAAAGAAAAGGAGTACTTGTGGCACCTTAGAGACTAACCAATTTATTTGAGCATAAGCTTTCGTGAGCTACAGCTCACTTCATCCTGTCATTTTGTCAGCTGACCAGGATGAGGGTGGTCTAGTCTAGTGGCTGGAGCAGGCATCAGGTCTAGTGCCTGGGGACACAACTTTCGTCACTTGTCAGGAGCCAAAGTCAAGCATCCAACCTGAAGGCCGAAACTGGGTACCAGAGTCAAGGGTTGAGCCTGGAGTCCATTGTCAGGAGACAGAGGCAAGGATCAAACCGGAGGGAAGGAACTGGTGCGAGCAGGGTATCAGTCAAGGAGAGGTTCTAGGCAGGGGCAGGACAGAGGAAAGGCTGTAGCAGCAGAAAGCAGGTAATGCAGGAGAAGGCACAGTGGTGGACATGAGCACTGAGAAACCAGCAAGTTGTTGCAGCTGTTGGCTTTAGAGTCAGCCTGCTGGCCTCTGAAGGCAATCAGGTAGTGTTGCTAATCAGGCAGCCTGCTGCAGGCCTGCTGTACTGATGAGGCTGCCTGGAGGCTAACTATGCTGCAGGCTCCTGATTCCTGACACATTCTTCCTGAGAGAACAGAACTATGGGTGCTGAACTGAAGTCTGACCTGCTGAATTGCAGGAGTCTGCAGCCTAAGGCCCTGGTCTGGAGGGAGTCAATCACAGGATTCTGCCCTGAGAAGGGTGAGAGCTGGTGGCCTGCGACCTAAGTGGGATGCCCTCCAAGAGGCCATGAGGGGGTCAGAGTGCTCTATCTATCTATACTCTGTCACTCATTTATGCACAAAACTGGCATATGCATGTGATTTGTGCAAGCTAAGTTGCGTGCACACATATGAAAGCCTTCCTAAGACACCTTTGAAGACATGGTTTTTAAAAGAATATAATATATGTTGGGGGAATTTCCTTTCAAAAGTGTACTTAGTGCTTATTATAGTATATGGCACATGTATGTCTCACTTCGATAGACTACTTACGCATGTGCCTGACTTTAAGCTTGTATTGACGTTAATGGGACTATATACATTTTTAAGTACCTTGCTGAATCAGGGTCTCAATCTTCAGAGCCCTCTGCAGATACGAACAAATGAATCTTCACAACATCCCAGTGAAGGAGGTAAATACTATTCCCAGTTTAAAAACTGAAGTAGACAAATCCCAGATTTTCATTCATGTTCCTTTGGGGTGCCTCAATTATTGCGTGCCCACTTTGAGACACCCAGGTGTTAGATTTTCAGAGGTGCTGAGTACAGTAGAACCTCAGAGCTAGGAAAACCTCGGCTATGGAGGTTGTAACTCTGAAATGTTTGTAACTTTGAACAAAACGTTCTGCTTGTTCTTTCAGAAGCTTACAACTGAACATTGACTTACTGCAGCTTTGAAACTTTACTGTGCAGAAGAAAAATGCTGCTTTCTCTTTATTTTTTTAGTTGTTTATATGTTTCACACAGTATTGTACTGTATTTTTTTTTTTTTTTTTTGGTCTCTGCTGCTGCCTGATTGCATCCTTCCAGTTCCAAATGAGATGTGTGGTTGACTGGTTAGTTTGTAACTCTGGTGTTCATAACTTTGAGTTCTACTGTATTGGCAGCTCCTATTCAGTTCAGCTGGAGCATGGGTGATCAGGCCCAAGACATCTGAAATTGGGCATCCGCAAATTGAGCACCCCAAACTAGTGACCGCTTATAAAAGCGTTAGTCTAAGTGACTTGTCAAGGCCACACAGTGAGTCAATAGGCAGAGCCAGCTTAGATCTCAGGAGTTCTTAATTAAATTCCATGTTGCCTCTTCTAAACCACACTGATTCTCTTGGACTAAATGTAAAGTGAACTGCCAAGAACGTGCACTCATGTCATATGCTAGAAAAACACCACAAAACTTTGTTGGCCATATAAAACTTTTTGCACAGTGGGACAATAACTTCTTTTTAAAAACCAAGTAACTATTTTGATCTAAAGCAATCAGGCTCCATTAAAACATTTTACAAAACAGCCAATTTGGATGAATAGGAGTACAAAAGAGCATGGCACATGCCTCCCTTCCCTTGCATAGATCTATTGGGTTTTCAAACTGAGCGATGAAATCCCCTTTCTGGACTGAAATCTCTGACGCCAAGTTTCTAACCCCAGAGGAAATGTCCTTGCCAATGGTATAAACCTTTACAAATAAGGGTATATAAAGAAAGCCACCCCTCCCCATCCCCAGGATTATGGAGCCACTATTGCAGAGCACATAATTATAGGTCTGTCAGGCTTTCCCTTATAGCCTCCTATTTTCAAAGAGTTAGAACTTCAACACACCTTTTTCAAAACCACTCCCTAAAACACCTCCTCTGCTCAGTAGCCACAGCTTTGTTACATGTGTAGAGTTAACTTTTAAAAGTGACCAGTGTGAACAAGGTTAAATGTTAAGTTTGGAATTAATAAAAAATGAATAAAATGAAAAGTGAATGAAAAGCTAAGCAAGCACTGATTTGGGCACCCCAGGGGGAGAAGAGACAGTGAGGAAGGCCAAGGAAGAACTGGAAGAAGACAGCAACAAGGGTTAGTGAACGGGCTGGCATCACCTGCGAAGAAGTACCACAACTAGCAAGTGATCGTAATCAGTGAAGGAATGGGAATCAGTGATGTGTCAGCAGCACCGGAGGAACTCAGGTAAGGTAAAAACAAATGAAGAGACCTAGGGCATAAAGAGAATCTGGGGTGAGAGAGGAGGCAAGGGACCAAGAAATATTATTATTAATTATTTGTATTACTGTATCATCTGTGAGCACCAGTAATAGCCGAGGGGCCCATTGTGCTAGGCGCTGTACAAACACAAAATGAAATGACATTCCCTGCCCTAGAGAATTTACAGTTGAAGTATAAGACAAGAGACAACAGATTGATATATAGGGTATGTCTACACTACAAAATTAGGTCGATATTATAGAAGTAGATTTTTAGAAATCGATTTTATACAGTCGATTGCGTATGTCCATACTAAGTGCATTAAGTCGGTGGAGTGCATCCTCACTACCATGGCTAGCATCAACTTATGGAGTGGTGCACTGTGGGTAGCTAGCCCACAGTTCCCGCAATCTCCACCACCCATTAGAATTCTGGGTTAAGCTTCCAATGCCTGATGGGGCAAAAACATTGTCGTGGGTGGTTTTGGGTACATGTCATCAGTTGCCCCTCCCTCCATGAAAACAACGGCAGATAATTGTTTCACGCCTTTTTTCCGTGCGGATGCCATACTGCTTTCAGCAGACGGTGCAGTAGGACTGCTAACCGTCGTCATCCACTGCTTCCGCTGCAACTCTGCTCTCCTGCAGATGCCATACGATGGCAAGCATGAGATGAGATCACCGCTCAGATCACCACAGGAGTTATGAGCATTGTAAACACCTTGAGCATTATCCTGCAGTATGTGCAGAACCAGAACCTTCAAAAGCAGGCGAGGAGGCAACAGCAGCTTGGTGATGAGAGTGATGAGGACATGGACACAGACTTCTCTCAAAGTATGGGCCCCGGCAATTTGGACATCCTGGTGGCAATGGTGCAGGCTCATGTGGTGGAACGCCAATTCTAGGCCCAGGAAACAAGCACAGATGGGTGGGACCGCACAGTGTTGCAGGTATGGGATGATTCCCAGTGGCTGTGAAACTTCCACATGTGTAAGGGCACTTTCATGGAACTTTGTGACTTGCTTTCCCCTGCCCTGAAGTGCAAGAATACCAAGATGAGAGCAGCCCTCACAGTTCACAAGCGAGTGGTGATAGCCCTCTGGAAGCTTGCAATGGCAGACAGCTTCTGGTCAGTTGGGAATCAATTTGGAGTGGGCAAATCTACTGTGGGGGCTGCTGTGATCCAAGTAGCCAACACAATCACTGAGCTGCTGCTATCAAGGGTAGTGACTCTGGGAAATGTGCAGGTCATAGTGCATGGCTTTGCTGAAATGGGATTTCCTAACTGTGGTGGGGTGATAGATGGAACACATATTCCTATCTTGGGACCAGACCACCTTGGCAGCTAGTACGTAAACCGCAAGGGGTACTTTTCAAGGGTGCTGCAAGCACTGGTGGATCACAAGGGACGTTTCACCGACATCAACGTGGGATGGCCAGGAAAGGTACATGACGCTTGCATCTTCAGGAACTCTGGTCTGTTTGAACAGCTGCAGGAAGGGACTTACTTCCCAAACAAGAAAATAACTGTTGGGGATGTTGAAATGCCTATTGTTACCCTTGGGGACCCAGCCTACCCCTTAATGAAGCCAGACACAGGCACCCTGGACAGTAATCAGGAGCCGTTCAACTATAGGCTGAGCAAGTGCAGAACAGTGGTAGAATGTGCATTTGGATGTTTAAAAGTGCGCTGGCGCAGTTTACTGACTCGGTTAGACCTCAGCGAAACCAATATTCCCATTGTTATTGCTGCTTGCTGTGTGCTCCACAATATCTGTGAGAATAAGGAGGAGATGTTTATGGTGGGGTGGGAGGTTGAGGCAAATCGCCTGGCCACTGATTATGTGCAGCCAGACAGCAGGGCAATTAGAAGAGCACAGCTGGGCAAGCTGCACATCAGAGAAGCTTTGAAAACCAGTTTCATGACTGGCCAGGCTACGGTGTGACAGTTCTGTTTGTTTCTCCTTGATGAAGACCCGCCCCCTTGGTTCACTCTACTTCCCTGTAAGCCAACCGCCCTCCCCCTTCGATCACCACTTGCAGAGGCAATAAAGTCATTGTTTCAAAATCATGCATTCTTTATTAATTCTTTATTAATTCATCACACAAACAGGGGGATAACTGCCAAGGTAGCCCGGGAGGGGTGGGAGAGGAGGGAAGCACCGGGTGGGGTGGTGGATGAGGGGAGGAGGGAAGGACAAGGCCACACTGCACTTCAAATCTTATTGAATGCCAGCCTTCTGTTGCTTGGGCAGTCCTCTGGGGTGGAGAGGTTGGGTGCCCAGAGCCCCCCCCACCCCACTTCTTGGGTGTCTGGGTGAGGAGACTATGGAACTTGGGGAGGAGGGTGGGCAGTTACACAGGGGCTGCAGTGGCGATCTGTGCTCCTGCTGCCTTTCCTGAAGCTCCACCAGACACCGGAGCATATCAGTTTGATCCCCCAGTAGCCTCAGCATTGCATCCTGCCTTCTCTCATCACACTGCTGCCACCTCTCCTCTTGTTCCCACAACCTCTCATCTTGCTCGTCCCTCCTGTCCTCGTGTTCATTTTCTGTTTTCCTGGACTCTGCCATTGTTTGCCTCCATGCATTCTGCTGAGCTCTTTCAGTGCGGGAGGACTGCATGAGCTCAGAGAATATTTCATAACGAGTGCGTTTTTTTCACCTTCTTATCTGTGCTAGCCTCTGGGGATGATAGGGGGAGTGTTGAAACATTTGCAGCTGCAGGAGGAAAAAAAGGGAGAGTAGTATTTAAAGAGACCCATTTTAGAGAACAATGGGTAGGCTCTTTCATGGTGAACCAAGTTGTTAACATTACATAGCACATGTTCTTTCGGTACAAGGTTGCATTTTGCCTCTTATATTGAGGCCCTGCCGGTTTGGTGTGAACGATCACACACGCAGGGCCGGGCAACAGAATTCGGCTTGCAGGCAGCCATGGTAAGCCACAGTCTTTTGGCTTCTTCAACCTTCATAACATGTGGGAATGGTTTCAAACACCAGCGCCCTCCTTTCCCATACCAAGCACCCGTTGGGTTGGCCATTTAAAAGGAGGGGCTGCGGTTTTCAGGTTAAAGTGCAGCACAAACCCAACTAAACCTCCCCCCCAATACTCTGGGATGATCGCTTCACCCCACCTCCCACCATGTGACTAGTATCAGGGAAGATCCCTGCCAGCGAAATGCGAACAGTTCAACGTGAATGCCCCACTCCCCCTCCCCGCCGCCCCACACCGTGCGGCTAAAAGCGGGGATGATTTCTTTTCCGCTCAATCCCCTGACACGTTAACAAACTTTTCCAGTAGCTGTACTGGCAGCGAATGCATCCCAAGTCTTCAGGGCAAATTAATCATTAAACACGCTTGCTTTTAAACCATGTAGTATATTTATAAAGGTACGCTCACCGGAGGTGCCTTCTCCAGCTTCATGGTCCAGGACCCCTCCTTGGGAGAGTTGGGAGAGTATTGGCTCCAGGGTGATAAACAGTTCCTGGCTGTTAGGGAGAAGGGATTTGCCACTTGCCTGCTGTGTGCTATTCTCAACCTCTTCCTCCTCCTCCTCTTCCTCGTCCCCCAAATCCTCATCCCTGTTGCGTAAGACTCCCCGCTTGTAGGTGTCCATGGACAGGGGTGGGGTAGTGGTAGGGGCACCTAGAATTGCATGCAGCTCATCATAGAAGTGGCATGTCTGGGGCTCTGACCCGGAGCGGCAGTTTGCCTCTTTGTTTTTTTGGTAGGCTTGCCTGAGCTCCTTAATTTTCACATGGCACTGCTGAGGGTCCCTGTTATAGCCTCTGTCCATCATGCCCTTGGAGATTTTTTCAAATATTTTGGCATTTCATCTTTTGGAATGGAGTTCTGATAGCACTGATTCATCTCCGCATACAGCGATCAGATCCAGTACTCCCGTTTGGTCCATGCTTGAGCTCTTTTGCGATTCTGGGACTACATGGTCACCTGTGCTGATGAGCTCGCCACACTGGCCAAACAGGAAATGAAATTCAAAAGTTCCCGGGGCTTTTCCTGTGTACCTGGCTAGTGCATCTGAGTTGAAAGTGCTGTCCAGAGCGGTCACAATGGAGCATTCTGGGAGAGCTCCCAGAGGCCAATACCATCAAATTGCGTCCACACTACCCCAAATTCGACCTGGCGATGTTGATTTCAGCGCTAATCCCCTCGTCAGGGAGGAGTACAGAAATCGATTTTAAGAGCCCTTTAAGTTGACAAAAATGGCTTTGTTGTGTGAATGGGTGCAGGGTTAAATCGATCTAACGCTGCTAAATTCAACCTAAATTCGTAGTGTAGACCAGGGCAAAGACAGATGGAAAACAATGAGACAATACTGACCACAGCATGATCCGTAGTGCTCTCAGCACACCAATTGCCTACGTGTTGTCAGTTTTTGTGTGTAGGTATCATAGCAAAGAAGTGCAAAGCAGGCAGGGCTGACCCCCAGCCCACACTTATGCCCTGGTTCTCTCTAGCCCCATCTATTTTTAACATGCTTATAAATTGAGGCTGCCTTCCTGCAGATTGTTGCATGTGTGGAACTCTGCTGGCTCAGTGGGGATGCAAATTTGCAGAATCTGAGCCTGTTTTTTCTTTCTTTTTTAAGGAAAAAATCATCATGTATAATTTTAAATATTACACTTGCAAATATTTTAAAAAAGTGATCAGGGCAGGGGAGAGCAGTGGTAGGAAGAGGAGAGGAGACTGTGGGAATGAGCCTAAGGGTATGTCTACATTGTAATAAAAAATCTGCAGCTGGCCCATGCGCATTGAGTCAGGCTCTCGGGGTGAGAGACTGCAGGCCTGTTTAATTGCAGTGTAACCTTCTGGGCTTGGGCTGCAGCCTGAGCTCTGGGACTCTCCCACCTCACAGGTCCTAGAGCCCGGGCTCCAGTCTGAGCCGGGAAGTCTACAATGCAGTTAAACAGCCCTGTGAGCCTGAGTCAGCTGACATGGGTCAGGCACAGAGGTCTAACTGCA